AGAGACGGGATCAGCTGAGACGGGGCAAACTGAGGCGGACAAGCCGACACGGGACAGGAGGCGTGTAGAAAAGAAAGGTGGGTCTGGTAGAGTAAGGAGGAAAAGGGCGTGGCAAAAGCGGGCCAGAGAAGCACTTTGCATGTTGGCCTAAAACATCTTGGTGTGTTCCCAGCATTAGCGTTGGGGAACAAGCTGTCACGGTATGCACGCAAGGGCGCGTGTGATAACAAAATTTAGGGTCTGAAGACAGATATACCAATCAAGAATCAACCCTGTTTCCTCATCTACAGAATATTTTAATTCGATCGTGTGTGCTGGTTCTAATATTTTTAATGTCGAGGAACTGAGTCTCACACACTCTCACTTGCATGGTAAGTTATATTTGGAGAACAAAGACCTGACGTATATTCCACAGTGAGGTAACAACTTTCGGCAATTTTTCTACCTACAATTGAATAAACGTATAATGTATTGCAAGGAGAATAGTATACACTGAGTGAATTTTATTCAAACTAACATAACGAAAGATGTAAAAATAAATATTTTGACATCATACATTTTCTGCGCAAACCGTGGTAAGTACCCAATACAATAATTCCCACTCTAATCGCATCCTGAATTAGAGCAGCTATCACGTGACACAACGTATGTGATCGATAGGAACAATGCGGGTATTCTGCCGGTTCCATCCGGTGAACATCGAAGTCAAAATTAGTTGGTGGCGCCGGCATCTCAAAGGCTATCAAATGAATTCACATGAAGGCAGCTCATTTCGGGGAAAGGCTAATGAACGCTTTTCAAAAGTCGATGTATTTGAAACTACATCAATTATTATGCACATTGCATATCGTTTCGAAACTCAAATTGGCGTCCAATCTGCGGAGCGTTGGGCATCGCTTCAGCCATGGAAAAGGTGTGTGTCGGAGCGGGGCAGGGAGAGAGAGAGAGAGAGAGAGAGAGAGAGAGAGAGAGAGAGAGAGAGAGAAACAAGCGGAGGCAGAGAGAAGAGGAGGCAGAGAGAAGAGGAGGCAGAGAGAACGGAGACAAGAGAGAAGCCGGAGACAAGAGAGAAGCGGAGACAAGAGAGAAGCGGAGACAAGAGAGAGAGAGAAGCGGGAGACAAGGAGAAGCGGAGACAAGAGAGAGCGGAGACAAGAGAGAAGCTGAGACAAGAGAGAAGCGCGAGACAAGAGAGAGAAGCGGAGACAAGAAGAGAAGCGGAGACAAGACGAGAAGCGGAGACAAGAGAGAAGCAGAGACAAGAGAGAAGCAGAGACAAAGAGCAGAAGCAGAGACAAGAGAGAAGCAGAGACACAGAGGAAGCGGAGACAAGAGAGAAGCGAGACAAGAGAGAAGCGGAGACAAGAGAGAAGCGGGAAGACAGAAAGGGGATGAGCCTGCAGCGGGCCAGGGTGGACGGGCTAGGGCAGGGAGGGAACGGGACAGAGGGCGAGGAGGGGTGAGGGTAGCGGAGCGGGATGGGCGGCTGCATAGAGCGAGCGAAGGCGGGGACGAGGCGGAGCGAGGGCAGGAGGAGCGGCCGGGAGAAGGCCGTACAAGGATGACGAGGCGAGGAGAGGCGAGGGAGGCGAGGCGAGGCGAGGCGGAGTGAGCGATGGAGCGAATCGGGTAGAGCGGGAAGAGGCATCGTGGCGTGTGGAGGACTGTTGCGGCAACTCCACCCAGCGTCGGCGCAGCAGCAGAGGATGGGGGCGGGCGCGGGCGGGGGCGGGGGCGATTCTAAACTTGGAGCGGCGGGCGCACGGCCCGCGCGTCGTTGCAGCGAGGAGCGCGGGGAGAAGGCCAACTGAGATTCCAGCAGCCCCGCAGCTTGCACGATTGGTCCACAGCCCTCTGGCCCATCACTTCAGAGCCCACTGGGCGTGTCTACGGTATGACTGATTACTTGCACACCTCGAACACAGCCGCCATTCATTATTCTATACTTGTGGTACAAAATAGCAATCTATTGTACGGATTTCCAGGGCTCGGCTATGTAAAACCCCCTGCCAGCCGAGAATGTGATTAAGATTGATAGGTACAAAGCAACTCGGAGGGAATACAAAAACAATTAAACAGTTTCGATTTTCAGAAAAAAGGAAAGACTTGATTGTGTTATTCTGCGTATTCATATACTGTGCCTATCAACTGAATTATCATATTCAGTGCGTCACTGCTTACATCATTACTGACGTCATGCAAAAGTAAGGCAAAAAGGAAGAGGACATCAAAATCTATCCATCTTACAGAATAGATACTTTTTATGTTATTTGTATGCTTGTTCTTTGCACACTGTACCACCTTATGGGAGAATTCTTGA